ATCCCTGCATTCCTGGGATAAAACCCACTCATAGATGGTGGACTATCTTTTTGTTTGCTAACATTTTGTTTGCTAACATTTTGTTTGCTAACATTTTGTTGAATCCTCAACAAAATGTTGAGGATGTTTTGCACCAATGTTCATCAGGGGTATTGGTCTGTAGTTTTCTTTTTTTTGTTGGGTCTTTTCCTGGCTTTGGCATCAGGGTAACACTGGCTTCATAGAATGAATTAGGGAGAATTTCCTTCTCTTCAATCTTATGTAATAGTTTCAGTAAAACTGGTACCAGTTCTTCTTTGAATGTCTGGTAGAATTTACAGTGAGTCCGTCAGGTCCTGGACTTTCTTTTGTTGAGAGACATGTAATTGCTGTTACAATCTTGCTGCTTGTTATTGATTGGTCAGTTAGGGGTTTCTGTTTCTTCCTGATTCAAGGTTGAGGGTGTTGTATGTTTCCGAAAATTTATCTGCTTCCTCTAGATCATCTAGGGTTTTTTTGTTTTTTGTTTTTTTTTAATGTAGAGGTGTTCTATAATAGTCTCAGATGATCTTTTGAATTTCCATCATACCCATTGTAAACTCTCTATTTTCATCTCTAATTGAGCTAATTTGATCTTCTCTCTGTTTTGTTTTGTTTTTTTTCTTTTGAGTTGGATCTCACTCTTAGCGCCCAGGCTGGAGTATAGTTGGCATGCTCATGGCCACCGCAGCCTTGACCTGCTGGGATCCGGCGATCCTTCTGCCTCAGCCTTCCAAGTAGCTGAAACTACAGACACGTGTCACCATGTCCAGCTAGTTTTTGTGATGTATTGTAGAGACGAGGTCTCACCAAGTTGCCCAGGCTGGTCTCAAATCCGCAGGCTCAGGCAATCCTCTCACCTCAGCCTCCCAAAGTGCTGGGATTATAGCTGAGCCGTCTCACCTGGCCCTTTGTGTGTTGGAGTCTCACTCTGTTGTCCAGGCTGGCGTGCAGTGGCATGCTCATGGCCACCCCAGTGTCGACCTACTGGGCTCTGGCAATCCTTCTGCCTCAGTCTTCCAAGTAGTCAGAACTACAGGCATGTGCTACCACGCCCAGTTAATTTTTTGATTTATCGTAGAAATGTCTCACCAAGTTGCCCAGGCTGGTCTCAAATCACATTCTCCTCACCTCAGTCTCCCAAAGTGCTAGGATTACAGGCATGAGCCACTGTGCCCGTGACTCTCTTTGTTTCTTAATTCAACTAGCTAGTGGTCTACCAATTTTGTCTATCTTCTCAAACTAACTTTTTGTTTCATTGATCCTTGTAGTTTTAAATTTTCAATTTCATTTAATTCTGTTCTCATTTTCATTGTTTGTTTTCTTCTGCTAGGTTTGGGTTAGGTTTGTTCATGTTTTTCTAGCTCCTTGAGGTGTGATACTAGGTAGTTGATATGTGATCTTTCAGTCTTATTAATGCAGACCTTAAGTGCATTAATTTTTCATCTGATCACACCTTTGGCAGTGTCCCCAAGTTTTGATAACCTGTTTTGTTATTGTTATTAATTTTGAGGAAATTCTAAATTTCTATCTTGATTTCGTTGTTGACTCAAGGATCATTCAGAAGCAGATTACTTAATGCCATGTTTTTGTTTGGTTTCATGAGTTCTGCTTGGAGTTTAATTTCTAATTTTATTTCACTGTAGTTTGAGAAGGTGCTTGATATAATTTGGATTTTTAAAAATTTATTGAGATTTGATTTATGGTGTATAATATGGTCTGTCTTAAAGGATGTTCCATGTGATGATGAGAAAATTTTATATTCTGTAGTTTTGCAGTGAAATGTTTTGTAAATGTCTGTTAGTTTCATTTTGTCTAGGGTGCAGTTTAACCCCAATGTTTCTTTGTTGACTTTTTGCCTACATGATTTGTCTGTTGCTGACAGTGGATTATTGAAGTCTTCTACTGTTATTGTATTGCTGTCTCTTTTTTAAGGTCTAGTAGAATTTTTTTTCATAAAGCTGGGGACTCTGGTATTAGGTGAATATATATTTAAAATTGTTATTTACTGTCAGAGTGATCCCTTTATTATTATATAATAGCCATCTTTATCTTTTTTTACTGTTGTTATTTTAAAGACTATTTTATCTGATACAAGAATGGCTAATCCCGCTCATATTTGGTTTCCAAATGTGTGGAATATTTTTTCCCACCCCTTTACCTTAAATCTATAGGAGTCAATGTGTGTTTAGTGGGTCTCTTGAGGGCAGCAGATATTTATATTGTGTGTGTGTGTGTGTGTGTGTGTGTGTGTGTGTGTGTGTGTGTGTCTGTTCTGGTTTAAAGGTTCTCTAAACAAAGGCAGGTGGTGCCAGGGAAAATTATCTTCCCAAACAGGCATCCAGGGTCTGTGGCTGCAAGTTAGAAAAATCCAGTGGAAGCTGGACTTGGTGGCTTAGTCTGTAATCCCACGCTTTGGGAAGCTGAGGTGAGTGGACTGCCTGAGCAACTTGGCGAGACCTCATCTGGGCTACAGAGTGAGACTCTAACTCAAAAAAAAAAAAGGAAAAAGAAAAATCCAGTGGAGAATTAACATGGATAATTTTTCTTCATGTACTGACAAAGCAGAGACTGGCATGGGGTAAGCCTATTTAAATATCACTCAGATTAAAAAGTTAGTAATATTAGAACCATTTGCTTTTTTTTTTTTTTTTTTTTTCATTAATCAGTAGTTTTTATTATGGTTTTGTGGGGTACAGTTAAGGGTAGGTGTACAATGACGTTTCATTCAGGCACCCTGTAGATAAGAAGTGTTTTCCCATCCCCCGACAGATATTTGCTACTGTTAATCCCATCCCCCTCCCCCCCATAGTTTCCCAGTACCATCCGTCATTTTCTCATAGTATTGCATTGGATGTTCAAGGTCCATTATATGAGTGAGAACATGTGATATTCGGATTTTTGTTTTTGTGAGAGGTCACTCAGTATTATAGACTCTAGTTCCATCCAGGTTGCAGCGAAATTCATGATTTTGTTCTTTTTTATGGCTGCGTAGTATTCCATCGTGTATATGTACCACATTTTTTTAATCCAGTCCTCTTTTGATGGGCAGCATGGTTGTTTCCAGGTTCTTGCTATTGTGAACAATGCTGCGATAAACATACGTGTGCAGGTATCTTTTTTATAGAGTGATTTGTGTTCTTCAGGGTATATTCCCAGTAGGGGGATTGCAGGGTCATATGGAAGGTCAATTTTTAGAGCTTTTAGGAATCGCCACACTGCTTTCCACAGAGGTTGCACTAGTTTACACTCCCACCAACAGTGTAGAAGTGTTCCCTTTTCACCACACCCTCTCCAGCAGCTGTTATTTATTGAGTTGTTGATAATTGCCATCTGA